GTATAACATTTATTTTTAAAATAAATCCTTCGAATTCGAACTTATCCTATATATAATTGTATATATTTATATATTTGTATCTATAAAAAAATGTATAAACATAAAGAAAATATTTTCGGATATTTCCATTTCATATATATATATATATATATATATATATATATATATATATATATATGCATAATTATGGGATAAAAACGTTCTTATATATAAGTCAACATTCAATCCTCAGGACAGAGGTGACAGACTGTTTATATATATATATATATATATATATATATATATATATATATATGATTAAATATATAATATATATATGCATTTGTCCACGTGTGCCTATTATAATATATATATATATATATATATATATATATGATTAAAACAAAAGTTCGTCCCACAATCAATTGTAATCTGTAGACTTAATGGCCAGTTAATCAGAAATAAAAACACAACAAAATTATTCCAATATTGGCCGAAAAAATTGATATTTATTATATACTAGCAGCATGGACAGGCGTTGCCCGTGCTTGATTCAAAAATCGTACGACTCAGACAGCAATCGCTATCACCTGACTTAAAATATTTTTGCCCTCCCTTGCCTTTAAAGGAGTGCCGTTTTCCGTGCTGATGTTGCTACATGCCTTACTTCTTGCCTATCTCACACTGCGAATTTTTTCTAAGCTCTATACTAAACATTAAATCCGTTACGAAAAAAAAAACTAAACAAAATGAACACAAAACGATCAGCTTTAAAAAAGGACTCGTAACTGGAAAAACCGAATGAAAAAAGAATGTTAACAACAAATACTTTTTCACACCCAACCCAGTTCTGCGGAATCAGAATCAACGTTGAGTTTAAGCAAGCGAATGAGCCAATTGGAGTAAAGTGCCATGCAGATTTAAATTTTTCCCATTTGTGACGAATGCAGCTATCGATTTTTTTGCATGCTAGCATGCTTGTTAATATTCGTGTAAGTCAGCTGTTGGCTCTCACGCTGGCCAATAGAATCTTCCTGCTTATTCGTGGCAGCCAGCTATAGGCTCTCACTCTGGCCAGTAGAAAATGGCCGCAAACTACATGAAAACTGCCGTAGAAACATGAAAATATTGATTATATCCACTATCGATGGGAGAAATGCAAAATCGGTATTGGCCTTTCCACTAACTTGGAGTATGTGCATGTAAATTTTGGTGCAAATCCGTCGAAAATTGCGGCCTTCCATTCGTTAAACACACACACACACACACACACACACACACACACATCCTGCCTTTTATAGATAGAGTTTAACGTTTTCACTAAACTGATGCATGAATAAAAAGATTTTAATGTCGGAATTTTTGGACACCTCTGTGTTCTTTTTCAACGATACGAGGAATAAACAAAGAAGTGGGACTTACTCTTACGAGGAATATTGTTGTTGGTTAGACCCGAGAAGAAAGATGAAAAGTGTCATCTTCAGGGCGCAATTTTCCCATACACAGGCGAACACTAAGACAAAATGTAGAACGAAAGATGTTTTTTTTTAAATTATTATTGAAATTGTCTAAAGTACATAGCATGCGTCTTCCATCTGAACAACAACTCGAATATAAGGATCTTATTATTCAGTGAATTGATAGTACGTTAATGTCACATTAAGTTTTGTTAGCGAAGTGATTTCACCATTCATCTTATTAAGATTGCTATTTAATTCTTTGTAAAAATTGTTTCTTTATGATATAATATATAAGCTGCACATTCTAATATATATATATATATATATATATATATATATATATATGAAGAAATATACTCTTATGTTTGCTATATTTATGGGATAAAGTGCTCAATATCAGAGATAGAGCGTGTGTAAGTATAAAAGAGAACATTGAAGTCAACATTTAGAGCCGACAGGCTGTTTCATGCTAGACACAATAATATATATATATATATATATATATATATATATATATATATATATATATATATATATCAAAGAAAATTGTTTGTATGTGTGTTTTTGGGAATAAACTACATGAAGAATAGGTGAAAGATAGAACACATAGATTTATAAAATGGCCATCAAGAATGGGGTTATTTTACAAAGATTTTCAATTGAGAAAAGTTGAAATAGCCATGTCATTAATCGTATGAAAACCGAGAATTCTAAGATAAGAGAAAACGTTTTATTTCTTATCTCAGTTCGAGAAACGTGACGAAAAATAAGGAACTAAAATTTGTCTTGGTAAATGTCAAAAACAAAACGTAGCTATCTCTCTCCTCCTCTTTTCTTCAGCGGATTTTAGAAGCATAGAACGTTTGAATAGTCGACTTTTTATTTGCAATTGTATCTTCTGATCGGTTGAGTTTAATGGCAAGATTTATAATGCAACAACCGATTTTAGAATTATTGTGTCAAGGAAGAAAATATATTCGAGGATATGAATTGTTTTCCCAAAGACATTTCAAGTAGTTTAAAAAGCATAAATTAAAATATAATATTTTTTAAAAAAGAACCAATCTCAAAATGTTTTCTTTCTTTCTATCTCAGATTGTTCATATTATATCTATATATTCCTCTATTTTCAATCTATCAACTTTCTATCTATCTATACGTCAGAGTCTATTCATTTCTCTCTCTTTCTCTCTGTTTGTTCTTCTATCTCTCCTCAAAACATACATACAACACACACACACACACACACACACACACACACACACACACACACACATATATATATATATATATATATATATATATATATATATATATATATTTCGATTATAGGTGCAGTTCAATTTATAATTACATGAATCATTCATACAAAAAACAAATATAGAGGTTAATGATTTAAATGGCAAGAATACATCTTCGCAAACAATTTCAATAAGATACACTAACCCCGAACCTGTATATGAATGATATGATCCCTGTTTATAAATTCCAGTTTCATAAGATCTTTTTTAGTTTTTACAAGAATTTAAAAAATTTGTTTTTTGTATGAATGATTCATGTAATTATAAATTAAACTGCACCTATAATCGAAATTAAAATACCTGATCCAACGTGCAACTTTCGGATAATAAGTGTGACATTTCTGTAATTATTGAACAATATAGTTCATGCCACATTGACGGAAAACCTACCAGTAAAAAAGAATTCTCTTATTACTATATTTGTAGAAAAACGCACAACTTTAAAATTTAAAATTCAAACTCAGCGTTGTGACCGCACGTTACAAAAATATAACACATTTCAAATAGCATTTTTTCGGATTACATCTCTATTTTCGTTGTCCTCTTATTACCGAGAAGTAAAAAACAAGAACAACATCTATTTCCATACCTGAGGATGTCTGTAGGAACAGACGAAAGCTTGTAAAAACTAAAAAAGACCTTATGTAACTGGAATTTATAAACAGGGATCATATCATTCATATACAGGTTCGGGGTTGATGAATCTTATTTATATTGTTTGCGAAGATGTATTCTCGCCATTTAAATCATTAACCTCTATATTTCTTTTTCTATGAATGATTCATGTAATTATATATATATATATATATATATATATATATATATATATATATATATATATATATCTCGGTATAGTATATTTACCTGTAGATGTGCTCAATATCGGTGTCGAACGTATGTAAATATAAATGTAAAGGTGTACAACACCAAGCGGCGACAGTCTGTTTCATGCGTGAACGCAATCTTCAGACCATGTGTTTTGCGTGTACGATCGACTATTTATATATGCTGAACATGATGCATTATGGATAGTAACGTCTATTGTATTATTCTAACGGTTATGGGTTGGCAGTAACGATTGTTTTAAATTATTCTTGAGGCTATTGAGTAGAAATAGTTTCGATACGAACGATGTTTTTGTTATAATTTTGTTGATTATTTATTATTGACCGCTTAATTATTTGTTGTTATTGATTATTATTATTATTATTATTATTATTATTATTATTATTATTATTATTGCCATCGTTTCTGCATTTCTATTCTGGGTTATTTGCTACTGCAGTAGGTGCATTATGGTTTATTTGCACTTCTACACCCACTTGAAATTCCCTTTTGAATTTGTTGGTTTCATTTATTACAGAATAACGTTCCTTATTTCTTTCATGTTCTTTATAGTCTTCTGTAGTTTCCAGGTATATTATTATTGTTTTTATTTCCTTTGATTTCTGGCGTGTACAAATTTCTTTCCGGGTCCCAACCAGAGACCTAAGGGTTAGAAATGGCATCATGACACTTTCCACTGACAAAAAAAAAAAAAATTGCACGGATAAAGCCCTTCTCGGACATTCAGGCCCTTAAATGTCGTTAATACTGCTTATTATAAACAGAGCATTTACTTAAATATTTGTATCTATAAAAAGAATGTATAAACATAAAAATGTCTTAAAAATAATTGTCGGACTTTGTCCATTTCATAAATGTGTGACGTCATTTGTTTACATTTACATTTGTTTATAACTGAACTTGCTAACAAAACGATCCTCTGCAGCCGAATGTGTTAAAAGACACGTTATGCTATATGACTGTTCCGTATAGGATACAGGTTCGAATTCTGTCGGAGGACGAATATTTTCTGTGAAAATTTCTCGGATATTCAGGCCAGTAAATGTTGTTTAATACTGTTTATTATAAACTTAAATATTTGTATCTATAAAAGGAACGTATAAATATAAAAAAAAATGTCTTTAAAAAATATATATATATATATACTCCTCTTCAGTGTTTTTTTTTATCAGTGACTTTAAGATGAATTGTTAATACTTCATATGTATTTGGGAATTTGCAATGTTGCAATTTTATTTCATTTATTTAAAATTTTGAATTAAATCAAATTTAATTCTCTCAGTACCTTATAATATTGAAAAACCTTAGTTCTTTAAATTTGTCTATGATATTTTGAACCTGCAGTGTCACATGGCATTTTTGGAAACGTTCCCCAACCCTATTTTTTCATTTATATACTGTATTTGCTATGCGAATGTGCGAAGATGTGCATTCTTTACAGTATGAGGTCCCAAATTTCAACACCTATGAATAGAAGACTCGTCGTGAGGGTGGTTGAACATCCACTACGCGTGTGTCCAAGAGGAACACGTCACCTCTGTCATCTAATCGAATCAGACAACGTGCAGACGTCTTTCTTTCATTTTAAAATGGTCTTTTATTTGATCTGTTGTTGCACTGATACAAATTGACAATGGCCGACTGATAGGGATATAGATTAGGGTCGACTTTATTCAGCTTTTACCTACATATCTATCAACTTAACGCAATTATGCTGTCATACCTACATACATACATATATATATATATATATATATATATATATATATATATATATATAATATAAAAGATAAATAGGAAACGTTTACCAATGGAATGTTCCAATTTTATTAAAGCGTCGTCAAAGAATGAGATATGGAGAAAAAGAAGAAATAAATTCTGGTATTTTTATTTTCGTGTTGTTTGATTTTCATTGGTCAATCATGTATCACGTGCATTCGATTCTTTTTAAATCATCGTTAGTATAATTTGTGGCACTCCAAATCCAAGAAGTTTCAAGAAATTAACAGATTCCAAGTATATATATATATATATATATATATATATATATATATATATATATATATATATATTTTATACTCGTTTGGAAAAACCTTAGGTATTTTCGCTTGTAATTGAACAAACCAATGACCAAGGGAAAATAAGGGATAAAAAAGAAAGAACTAAGACCATGAAATTAAGGCGAAAGCAATCGTTTCAAGCTCAAAGTCCAAAGAAAAAAAAAACTCTAAAGCGAGTAAAGCAAAAGTAACTATGTAAAGTGCTCAATACACTCAGTAGACCAAACCTGACTATAGTTATATATATATATATATATATATATATATATATATATATATATATATATAAGAGAGAGAGAAAGAGAGAGAGAGAAAGAGAGAAAGAGAGAGAGAGAGATTGAATAAATTACAGACATTATGTCTGCTAATTTTTAACAAAATCTATTCATACTCACGAATAACCTTCTGTGTATTGTTGTTAAAGAATGCGAGAAGTGTGCTATAGCTGTTTAAATTTCTCCTATTTTCATTTCTTAAGTACTTTCGACCTTTTTCCAAGATCATCTTCAGGGGTGCAAGTAGTTTTAAACTATATGTTGTTCATTAATATAAGTATTTATACAAAGTTGTTCGTTGTTATCCATTACCGTCATTTGTTCATTTTGCTTTTAAATGGAAAACTGTTGACAATGTGCTGAGCGTTCATTAGAACGTAAAAAATTATCCATTATGTGTGTTGTAATGTCATCCGTTTTGCATTTAAAAACATAATGTTTAAAGCCAGTTGTAGGTAGGAAGATCATGTAGCACCATTTTTTTTTAATATAGGGAGATTAAACGGGCTTTAGGTGTTCCATTATTTTCTTAAATATCGTCATTAGAAAACGACCCCCATTTCGATGTGATGCATGGCGCTAAATACGTTAAAAATGGTTAAAATCTTTGAGAAAGTGAAGTCTGAGGGTCTGGTAAAGACCATCCTTCTTTGAACATTGAGGATTGGCGCTGCATAATCACAAAAAAAAAAGAAATGTACCAAATTACAGAAATCAAATCAGTTGAGAACCTTCAACAACTAAAATGCACAGCACATGTAACTAGGAAAGAAAATAATAACGTCATCAAGATGTTGAACTTCCACACTACTTCAAACAAAAGGTTAGCAAGGAAACTCCCATCAATACTGGAAAGAGCAATAACAGCTACTGGACTTGAGCAACTATTTTCTTGAAAAATTGTTTTACGAAAAATTTTTATAAATTTCAAAAGACTGTACTACTGGCTGTTCAGTCAATGTATGCCGAATGTTTCCTTATAAGGAAATGGCTAATATTACTATTACCTATTTGCATTAGTTACATTATTCGGACTTTTTTCTCATCTTTATTGCCATATTAACGACGTTTCAGTCACTGTACGCTCCGCTCCTCTACAGGTGATTGGAATTTCGAACTGAAATTTGGTCTACAAGGTCCGAAACATCATGTATATGACAATAAAGATGAGGATAATAGTCCGAATAATGTAAATAATGTAAATAATTACAGTACCTCATCTCAGAAATATAGACAGATCCTGAAGAAGGCCGGAACGTACAAGTGCCGAAACGTCGAGAATATACCAATAAAGATGAGCACAACAGTCCGAACATGGTAAATAATGTAAATAATTACAGTACCTCATTTCAGAAATATAGACAGATCCTGAAGAAGGCCGGAGCGTACAACGACCGAAACTTAAAAAATATAGGAATAAAGATGTGCACAACAGTCCGAACAATTTAAATAGTGCAAATAATTACAGTACTTCATCTCAGAAATATAGACAGATCCTCAAGAAGGTCGGGTCGTACAACGACCGAAACGTCGAGAATATGGCAACAAAGTCAAGGACAACTGTCTGAATAATGTAAACAATGTAAATAATTACAATATCTCATCTCAGAAATATTTACAGATATTTATATTACCATGAACATTTTTAACTTGGTTCTACGGAAAAAACTTCTTTTACTCAAATATTTCAGACACTGTTTTGGTATGACCCGATTTCACACTGTAAAGCTCGGCACGTTTTTATATATATATATATATATATATAAAGTATATTATTAATAAATTAATTACTAATTTTTTTACCTGGTTGCCCCTCAAGTCTACCCTGCTATTTAAAAGTATTCATACCTTCCCAGTGACATTAGAGTGAATCAAAATGAAATAGATTAAGAAAGAATTTGAAAATTGGCTCAGATATTTTAATTTCGGTTCTCGATAGGCGTTGGATTATCATTTCCCTCCATCTGACACAGACAACAGCTCGAAGAAGAAAAAACGATTTCTTCATAGTTTTGACATCTCGGGTTAATTTTAATAACTTCATCCCTTTTTTTCCAAATTGGAAATGTAGAAGAAATAAAAACATTTTGCTTTCAATTTCATTCATTATTTCGGCCCTTATATCTCTCTTAGCAAGTCATAATACATAAATACATCCCGCCTGTGACTATCGTATTTTCCTTGTGTATAATACGATTGAGTATAATACGACCCCTCCTTCTTTTTGGCGTAGGTGGTCATGGCTCTCCACAATATCCTGTCTTTTGCAGCTCCTTATAAATTTTGTCTTTTTCTTATCTCTCCTAAACCTGGTTCCATCATCCATTTACTCAAGCTCATTCTTCTTTTACTATGTGACGTGCCCCTTCAGGGCGTTGGCGATCATGGCTCTCCACAATTTCCTGTCCTTTGTAGATCTTAATAAATTTTGTCTTTTTGATATATCTCTTACCCTTGTTCCGCCATCCATTACCTCAAGTTCATTCTTCTTCTATGTGCATTGTCCCTTAAGCAAGTAGGTGATCATGGCTCTCCACTATTTCCTCTCCTTTGTAACTCTTATTATTTTGTCGTATTGTTATCTCTCCTACACCTTGTTTTGCCATCCATTTACTCAAGCTCATTCTTCTTCAATGTGCACTGTCCTTTCAGGACGTAGGCGATCATGGCTCTCCACAATTTCTTGTCTTTTGTAGCTCTTAATAAATTTTGTCATCTCTCCTAACCCTTGTTCCGCCATCTATTTGCTCATTTGCACTTCTTCTTCTATGTGCCGTGTCCCCTCAGGACGTTGGCCATCATGGCTCTCCACAATTTCCTGTCCTTTGTAGTTCAAATTTGGGTAAAAATAACATTTAAGGTAATAAAAACAATCGTATCTCTCTATATTTCTGTGATGAGTAACTGTCTATATTTCTGAGATGAAGTATTGTGTAGACTATTTACCTCAATTTCTACTCCCACCATCCATAGTGTAAAGAAAGTGATCGTCTGCTGCTTACAACACAACAAAAGTCATAAGTGGCTACCCAGAGACATTCGATAAGGAATTGGTCAGTATAAGTAGTACCCTACAACGTAACAACTACTCGTGGTACATGGCAGCAGCCCCAAAAAACTGGGATAGGCGGGTAGAAGAGGAGGACAACAACACTCAGAAAACAGTCTGCCTGCCGTATGTGAAGGGGTTATCGGAGAAAATACAAAGGATCTGCGGTCCATATAACATCAGGACAACCTTCAAAAGCAGGACAACACTTTGCAGATATCTCTCCCGAGTAAGACAACCAACCCTCCATAAAGGAGAACATGACTAAAGACTGTGTGTACGTTATCGCGTGCAAGAAACATAAAGGGCAGACAGGCCGCCCCCTCAAGGTAAGGCTTCAAGAAAAACCAGAAAGCTGTAACACGAGGTGAAGTAGAGAAATCAGGCGTGGCTGACCACATATGGAGAGAGAAGAGAGATCACCGCCTTCTGTGGGATCAGGTTGAGATCATAGACAAAGAACACCATTGGAAAATTCGTAAACTTAAAGAATCAGCACATATGCTAGGCCACAAAACTCTCCTGGGCCGACCAAACAATATGGGAACCAGTAATAAGGAGTGCCAGAGAAAGGCGATAATAACAACAAAAATTGCAATACGAGGTCTGGTCAAAAAATAAATTGATAAGAGCATAAATTGCAATATGAACACTGGTAAAAATGGTCTCTGAAACATTAGGTTTATAATATCCAGAAATTTATACAGAGATGTCATCAAGGACACATGGCACAGTGGATAAAGGCGTTGGTTAGATCCAGTGACAGAACCCAAAGAGTGTCCGAATAATGTAAATAGTGTTCTGAGATGAATTATTATGTACACTATTTACATTATTCGGATTATTGTCCTCGTCTTTGTTGTTATATTTATCACAACGTTTCAGCCGTTGTACGCTCCGGCCTTCTTCAGGTGGTTGAAATGTCAAACTGAACCCTTTATATCGCTCGCTGGGGTAGATTGTTCTAGTTCCACGTGCTATGTCTAATGGATGTTAGTTATCAGTTATCTCCTGTTAATTCCCCTCTGCACCGCCTTAACCAGGTATTGAACTCACACTCTTTGGGTCCTGTCACTGGTCATCAAGGACACATGATACAGTGGATAAAGACGTTAGTTAGCGTACAACGGCCGAAATGTTGTGATAAATATGGCAACAAAGATGAGAATGATAGTCCGAGCGATGTAAATAAAAAACAATCGTTAATACATAATTGGATAAAATGTAATTGTATTATATTTTTAAAAAAATAAAATTGATAATCAACAAAAAAAGAAGGAAAATACTGACTCATCTCAATATATCTTCAGAGTTGTCTAAAACAACCTGATATTGCAAGATCTACGACAAACGTGTGGACAGATCTATACATATCATAAATGAGATAGCTGAGTTTCTGCAGTGACTTGTTAATATTCCATGTTTCTTTAGAATAAAAACGATGAAATTATTTGTGTCACCCTACTCGTGTGGCGTTTTTCCTTCTATAGCCGCACGTCCTTCTAAATAGCATGTTTCCCGCCATGGCCGTTACTGCCGCCACCAAGCCATGATTCGCCATTTTTATCAGCGATGATCACGTGACCAATTCCCTCCACCAACCACCACCACCATCGCAATCACCAGAAACTATATCATAAGTTTAATGCTTGTGGCTCGCTGCGTCATATCACATAAGGCGCCTGGCGACTGAGGTGAGTTAAATCACCCGGTGATTTGATTTTCAAAAGTTTTCAAAAGTCGTTTTGCACTTCGGCAAATCGAATCAACTCCGAAAGCCCCCACCCGACTACCAACCGCATCCCCTCAGTACTGGCTCGTTTTTACCGCCACTCCATTAACACTTCCCCCTACACCCATCCTCCTAGACACAGTTCTAATTCTCAGATTCCTCGGCGAAGTTCACTCTCTCCCTCATCCTTTCTTTATGTTTGCTCTCCCTTCTGTTTTCTTGTCTCCCTCGCCTTACTCTCCACCACCTTGCTCTTCAATTTTTGTATATTTCTTAAAAGATTTCTTCCATTCTTCATCCTTCCGCATTTTTTTCTTACTTTTAAAAATCTTTTTCTTTGTCTTTCACGTCTTTTTGTTCTTTTTTCATTTATTTTTTTAATCGCTTGAGTTTTTTTATTTTTTTCCCTTTTTAAATTCATCACGTCCCAATTTTATAGTTACGTATTTTCATTCTAAACACGTATTAATATCATAGTGGCCAACATCCTCCCTGTCTTCCAACAGCACCCCCACTCACAAACCCTCCCCGCTACCATCATCATCATCCCCTATATTCCAAGCAACGTCAGCAGCAAATCCACCATTTGTGTCAGCCACTTCATCCTACTAGCCTCCTCCTCCTCTGTCACATTAACACCTTCTCCTTCACCATTACGCCAACAAGGGTTATTAGCACGACCCCCTAAAGCCGTCAGCCCCAACTCTGGAGAAAAGTCTATCCACCTTACTTTCCTTTTCCATTTTGGTGAGAGAGTTTGCCGACCGGCCCATTCTATCCTGATGTCGTGTGGCGATGATCACAAGGATCCTGTACTTAGACAAACTACCAACGCGCCGATATAGATGGAACAACTTCCTTCTAATGGCAGAAACTTGAGAGAATACAGTCTTCTATGTGCCGTGTCCCTTCGAGACGTAGGCGATCATGGCTCTCCACAATTTCTTGTATTTTGTAGCTCTTAATAAATGTTCTCTTTTTGTCATATCTCCTAAACGCTGTTCCGCCATCTTCAAGGTCCTTAAGTATGTTATGCGTTGTTTTCTTCTATCGCTCTTGCCGTCAATATGACCTTTGAGTATCATGTTCTCCAAGCCCACTTTCATCATAATTTCAAACGTCTCTTCCTGATGTTTAGATGTTTCTCTTTGGTCCAATTTCACTAAAACATCGTCGTTGCTTAAATATTCGGTCCATGGTAATCTCAGAATCCCCCGGTAGAACCGCATTTCTGTTGCTTCAAGTCTCTTCTTCATCTGTGAGGAGATTGTTCAGTATTCACTGCCATAGAGGATGACTGATATTACATAACATTTCAGTACTCATTTCTTTGTTTCTGTTGATCAAGTCTCTTATTCATATGTGAGGAGATTGTCCAGCATTCACTGCCATATAGGAGGACTGATATTACATAACAGTTCAGAATACTTTTCTTTTGTTTCTCTTGCTTCAATTGTCTTCATCTGTGAGGAGATTGTCCAGCATACACTACCATACAAGAGGACTGATATTACATAACAGTTCAGGACTCATTTCTTTGTTTCTCTTGCTTCAAGTCTCTTCTTCATCTTTGAGGAGATTGTCCAGCATTTACTGCCATATAGGAGAACTGATATTACATAACAGTTCAGTACTCATTTCTTTGTTTCTCTTGCTTCAAGTCTCTTCTTCATCTGTGAGGAGACTGTCCAGTATTCACTGCCATATAGGAAGACTGATATTACATAACAGTTCAGTACACTTTTCTTTGTTTCTCTTGTTTCAAGTCTCTTCCTCATCTGTGAGGAGATTGTCCAGCATTCACTGCCATATAGGAGGACTGATATTACATAACAGTTCAGTACTCATTTCTTTGTTTCTCTTGCTTCAAGTCTCTTCTTCATCTGTGAGGAGATTGTCCAGTATTCACTGCCATATAGGAAGACTGATATTACATAACAGTTCAGTACACTTTTCTTTGTTTCTCTTGTTTCAAAGTCTCTTCCTCATTTGTTTGTCTTCACTGTTTCAAACAGTTCTACTTTTCTTTTGTTTCTCTTGTTCAATTGATCTGTGAGATTGTCCAGCATTCACTGCCATATAAGAGGACTGATATTACATAACAGTTCAGGACTCATTTCTTTGTTTCTCTTGCTTCAAGTCTCTTCTTCATCTTTGAGGAGATTTCCAGCATTTTTTTTGATCAGTTCAGTACTCATTTCTTTGTTTCTCTTGCTTCAAGTCTCTTCTTCATCTGTGAGGAGATTGTCCAGTATTCACTACCATATAGGAAGACTGATATTACATAACAGTTCAGTACACTTTTCTTTGTTTCTCTTGTTTCAAGTCTCTTCCTCATCTGTGAGGAGATTGTCCAGCATTCACTGCCATATAGGAGAACTGATTTTACATAACAGTTCAGTACTCATTTCTTTGTTTCTCTTGCTTCAAGTCTCTTCTTCATCTGTGAGGAGATTGTCCAGCATACACTACCATATAGGAGGACTGATATTACATAACAGTTCAGTACTCATTTCTTTGTTTCTCTTGCTTCAAGTCTCTTCTTCATCTTTGAGGAGATTGTCCAGCATTCACTGTCATATAGGAGGACTGATATTACATAACAGTTCAGTACACATTTCTTTGTTTCTCTTGCTTCAAGTCACTTCTTCATCAGTGAAGAGATTGTCCAGCATTCACTGCCATAGATGATGACTGATATTACATAACAGTTCAGTACTCTTTTCTTTGTTCCTTTTGCTACAAGTTACTTCTTCAGCTGTGAGGAGATTGTCCAGCATTCACTGCCATAGAGGATGACTAATATTAGATTACAGTTCAGTCCTCTTTTCTTTGTTTCTCTTGCTTCATGTCTCTTAATTAAAGTATTATATTTTCCAAGCCCTCTCTCCTTATTATTCAACTGTGTCTTTCCGATGTTAAGTATAAGTACCCCCCAAATTGAACATACCCTCAGGAAAATGCCCGTAACATAATAAAAACAAAACTTTATCGTCAACATTTTTAAAAGAAAAGACCAAAGGATTTTTTTTAAGTATTAAATTATATTTTTTATCCTTTCTTTACATTTTACCTAAAAAAAAATGTTGTTTTTCTTGCGTCAACTCAGAAAGGTGTGAAGATTAGTTTAAGAAATTTTAGCGTCTTTTTTGTGGTTAAAAACACATTGAGGTCGGAATTTTCGCAATTCAAATATTTGTTGAATTTAAAGAAACTTTCAGGATTTATTCAGAAATGAATGCAACTGTTTTAGAAGTGATTTTTTTTTGGGGGGCGGGGAAATCATTATAGAATTTTTTTAAATTTTTAATTAAACTTTAAATCGCAATGTTTCCTTTTTGGAAGATTTTTAATAAAGAGAATTACACTATGCTGGCAGATAATTGAAAATGGGTAAAATCAGCAATATTTTTCGAGTAAAAAAAATACAGTAAAATTAAATTAGATTTGAAATACAGCAACTTATTTTACTTATTGGAAATACTAAATTTAATCTATCAGCTTGAATTTAAAACTACAAATGCTTCAAGAGAGATTTTTCATTTAAAAAAATCCTTTTAAGCCTCAAGTATCGCAATTTCGTACAGGTACTTAAATAAAACTCTCCTCAAATACTAATTCAGCATTTTATTTTTAAAAAATACCACGGAGAAAGAGTTAAGTTCTAACATTACACGAACCGACATATACGTGATGAAGGTCAATGCGCACAACATTGATTTTGTTTAGTGGTATATCAACACTTGTATGGGGTATTTAATGCCAAAATCTAAATATTTTCAACGTAATTTTATGGCTTCAGCTACAGATAAAATGTATTGTTGGTCATTTTGCTATAACATTTATCGTTGGTAGTTCTGCTTCAAAAATGTATTGTTGGTAATTTTACAATAAATAAGTATCGTTGGTAATGTCTTATATAATAATCTACGGCTGGTATTTTTACTGTAATAATGTATTTTAATTGTATAGTGTTTTTAGGATCACTATTTGCCCATAGATAAGACCCTGATATGTGCTACCATTCCGGGTTAGGGCAGACCTGGGAACAACATCAATTAAGAGGTGGTTCCACGCTCCTTAAAACGTCCTGATCAAAGACCTTGCTGCCGGATGTAGTTTATCGTCATGCCCAGGATACAAAAACGTTCTGATAACAACAAAGAGTTTAAATAATAATAACCCCTTATTCTAGAAATTCAGTCAAAATTTTCCAATTTTAAGAAACAGATTTTATAAATTTGAACCGAAAGTAACTAATTAGGATTTCAATGACTGCCAAATGTTTCTCTCATTTTTCTTGTATGGAAAAAGTCAATTTTGGCATTACCATTATTGTGCTTGGGAAAGGCAAATACACAGATCTTTCTTTTTGTTTTTGTCTGGGTTGACTCGATTTGTTCACGGTATTCTTTCATTTCCAAAGCCCCAAATATTTCTTTTTTTTTTGGTCATCATATTAATCATCATCATCATCATCATTAGTGGTGTTAATGCACTTAATATCATTAGTGTTGGTATTGTTAGTTGTAGTGGCGCTAATTTCGATGTTCTTAGTCGGGGTGAAGGCAGCGTGAGGATCGAAAAGTCGGAGACAGCTGCAAGACTCCTTGGCTCAAAACATCAGCATCGTCTTTCTGGATTGTAAAATAAAAATAAATAAATAAATAAAAAACTCCATTTTCTTTTTCTTATTTCCTCTTCCACAACCATCTGGTGTCTTCTTTGAATTCTGTCTCCAGCAAATAACGTATCTCTACTCTCAACTCTCTCTCTCTCTCTCTATCTATCTATCTCAACTCTCAACTCTCTGTCTGTCTATCTGTCTCTCTCTCTCCCTCTCTCTCTCTCCCTTTCTCGTACCACCTCAATTTTTATGTAGTTTACTTTTGAGCGTTTCTTTTTCACCGATGGCCGCTATTTTATTACTCACCATTTCACCATTCCATAATTTCTAGCTTGATTTATTTTCCTTCTTTCTCTCCTTCCTTCCTTCCTTCCTTCCTTCCTTCCTTCCTTCCTTCCTTCCTTCCTTCTCTTTCTTTTCTTTTCATTTCTTCTTTCTCTCATGCCTTCCTTCCTTCCTTCCTTCCTTCTCTTTTCTTTTCATTTCTTGTCCTTTCTCCTTTCCTTCCTTCCTTCCTTCTTTTCCTCTTCTCTTTCTTTTTCTTCCTTTCTTCTCGTTTTCTTTCCTTTCTTCCTTCTCTCTTGTCCTTCCCTCTTTTTCTTCTTTCTCTCTTTCCTTCCATCTTTCCTTCTTTCCTTCCTTCTTTCTTTCTTGCCTTTCTTCCCTTCATTTCCTTCCTTCTCGTTATCTTTCTTTCCTTCCTTCCTTCCTTCTCTTATCCTTCCTTCTTTCCTTCTTTCTCTCCTTCCTTCTCTTCCTTCCTTCATTCTCTTTTTCCTTACTTCGTTCTCTCATGACTTTCTTCCTTCATTCCTTCCTTCTCGTTTTCCTTCCTTCCTTCCTTCCTTCTTTCTATATTGCCTTCCCTCATTCTCTCTTCCTTCCTTCCTTCCTTCCGTTCTTTCTCTCCTTTTCCTTCTTTCCTTCCTTCCCTTCCTTCCTTCCTTCTTCTTTTCATTTCTTCTTTCTTCCTTCCTTCCTTCCTTCCTTCCTTCCTTATTTCTTGTCGCTTTCCTCTTTTCTATCCTTCTTTCTCTCTTGCTTTTCTTCCTTTCTTCTCGTTTTCTTTCCTTTCTTCCTTCTCTCTTGCCTTCCGTCTTGCCTTCTTCCTCTCTTTCCTTCCATCTTTCCTTCTTTCCTTCCTTCTTTCTTTCTTGCCTTTCTTCCTTCATTCCTTCCTTCTCGTTTTCTTTCTTTCCTTCCTTCCTTCTATCTTGCCTTCCTTCTTTCCTTCTTTCTCTCCTTCCTTCCTTCCTTCCTTCTCTCTTTTCCTTACTTCGTTCTCTCTTGACTTTCTTCCTTCATTCCTTCCTTCTCGTTTTCCTTCCTTCTCGTTTTCCTTCCTTCCTTCCTTCCTTCTATATTGCCTTCCCTCATTCTCTCTTGCCTTCCTTCCTTCCGTCTCTCTTTTCCTTCCTTCTTTCTCTCTTGCCTTTCTTCCTTCCTTCCTTCCTTCCTTCCTTCCTTCCTTCATTCCTTCCTTCCTTCTCTTTCTCACCTTCCTTCCTTCATATCTTTTCTCTTTCCCTCTTCCTTCCTTCTTTCCTTCCTTCACTCTTTTCCTTCTTTTCTTTCTCCTTTGCCTTTCCTCCATCATTTTCCTTCCTTTCTTCTTTTCTCCTTTTTCCTCCTCCTTTCCTTTTCTTCCTTCTTCCTTATTTCTTTCTTTTCTTTCTATCCTTTTCCTTCTTTTTCTTTCTCTTCTTTTCTTCTTTTCTTCCTTTTTTCCTTCTCTTGCTTTTTTTCTTTTTCTTCTTTCTCTCTTTCCTCCCTTCCTTCCTTCATTCTCTCTTTCCTCTTTCCCTTCTTTCTTTCTCTTTTGCCTTTCTTCCTTCATTCTTGCTTCCTTCTCTTCTTTCTTTTTTTTTTCCTTCCTTCTCTCTTTTCCTTCCTTCCTTCTTTCCTTCATTCCTTCCTTCTTTTTCCTTCCTTCCTCCTTTCCCTTCCTTCCTTCCTTTCTTTCTATATTTGCTTTCTTTCTCTTTTGCTGTTATTTCTTTGTTTATTATTATTATTTCTTTCTATCTTCTCTGTTCTTGTCTCTTTCCTTCCTTCCTTAATTCATTCATTTCTTTTTTCTTTTCTTCATTCCTTTCCTATTTCTTTCTTTCTTTCTTTTTCATCTGTTCTTTTTTCCTTCTTTTCTTCATTCATTATTTTTTTTTCATTACTTCTTTCATTCTTTCCTCGTTTCTATCTTTTTTCCATCCTTTCTTTCTTTACTTTCTTCTTTATGCTTTTTTTTCTTCCTTCGGTCTGTTCATTCATTCTTTCTTTTTTCTTTTTCTTTCCATTTTTTCCTTCCTTTTTTCCATCCTTCCTTCCGTCTGTTTTCTCTATTTTCATTTCTATACTTAATTCTTTCTTTCTTTCTTTCTTTCTTTCTTTCTTTCTTTCTTTCTTTCTTTCTTTTCTTTTCTTTCTTATTTTTCCTTTTAATTTTTTTCATTATTTTGTTTTTTTTCCTCTTTTTTTTCTTCCTTCCTTTCTTTCTTTTTCTTTTTCTGTTTTTTCCTTCTTTCTTCTTCATTATTTTTCTTTCTTTTTTTTTTTTTTCTTAATCTTTTTTCCTTTTCTTTCTTTCTTTCTTTTTTTTTCTTTTTTCTGTTATTTCTTTTTTTTTCTTCTTTTCCATTTTTTCTTTCATCATCCTTTCCTTCTTTTTTCTCCATTTATTTCCTTCTTTCTTTCTTTTTCTTTCTTTCTTTCTTTTTTCTTTCTTATTTTTTACTTTAGATTTTTTGTTATTTTTTGTTTTTTATTCTTGTTTTCTTCCTTCCATTCTTTCTGTTTTCGTTTATTTACTTCTTTCTTCCTCTTTCTTTCTTTTCTTTTTTTCTTAAAGACCTTATTCTTTCTTTCTTTCTTTTCCTTTCTTTTTTCTGTTATTTCTTTTTTATTCTTCTTTTCTTTCTTTCATCATGTACTTTTCCTCCATTTATTTCCTTCTTTCTTTTTTCTTTCTTTCTTTCTTTCTTTTCTTTCTTATTTTTTACTTTAGATTTTTTGTTATTTTTTGTTTTTTATTCTTGTTTTCTTCCTTCCATTCTTTCTGTTTTCGTTTATTTACTTCTTTCTTCCTCTTTCTTTCTTTTCTTTTTTTCTTAAAGACCTTATTCTTTCTTTCTTTCTTTTCCTTTCTTTTTTCTGTTATTTCTTTTTTATTCTTCTTTTCTTTCTTTCATCATGTACTTTTCCTCCATTTATTTCCTTCTTTCTTTCTTTCTTTCTTTCCTTTATTCTAAATTTTTTGTTGATTTTTTCTCTGTTCTTTCCTCTTTCTGATTTTGACTGAATTTTTATTTCTTATTTTCATTTTTCATTTTTTATTCTTAATATTTATTTCTTATTTTTACTTTTTAAATTATTTTTAAAAATTTTACTTTATTTCAGTTTTCAATTTTTTTCTTTTTCTAGATTTTATCTTAATTCCGTTCTTGACTCTTACTTGTGTCTATATTCAGGTTTGTGAGTGAATCTATATGTGTAAGTGTGCAAGGGTGTGAACCTCTCTGTGCGTGATTCCACCCTTTCAATTCAAGCCTCCTCTCTTCTTCATCCCCGTATCGTCCGGACCGATAAAAATCACATGCGCCATTCTTCTGAGCTACTTTTCCTAAAATTATATTAAAGTAAATCCTAGAAATCCCCCTCCTCCAAATTCTTTTCCTTTCTCTCTTTCTTCTGTATGAGTTGTCGTCGTCAATTTTATGTTGCTTTTTATCACGAACTTTTTGGCGGTTAAAATTAAAAGTACAGGAATTTAAAATAGACTAAAAGCCAGTCCCATTCACGGAAGACGCCTTCACCATCGGGTGAGAAACGCTGTCATCACCAGACAAGATTCACATCTGTAGTTCTACTACCCTCGTTTCTTTTGTTGATGTTATTGCACGCTGCATTGTTGATTATCTAGTGATTTCTCTTATGCTTCTGGAGTTACACACACACACACACACACATATATATATATATATATATATATATATACATATATATATATATATATATATATATATATATATATATATATATATATATATATATATATATATGATCGAAATAAAAGTATAAAATTTAATATTACAAGACAAGGCACTTTACATCGGGTCCTGAAGCCTTCTTTGTTGCAAACAACGTGAGTGTTTGTTGGGACTCGCTTGTCATTTGTCTCTAGTTCCTTCCGCATATATATATATAATTTTTCCCCAATTCCTTTTATTGTACATTTTCTGTATTAATTTTAAATCTCCCGTTGATGCCTGAAGAGCAGGGAATTGCTTCCCCTTGTAGTTTTTTTTTTCTTTTAAATATGTCTTGTAATATTAAATTTTATACTTTTATTTCGATCATTAAATTTTGTACCTACAAAAATATCTTTAAATATATATATATATATATATATATATATATATATATATATATATATATATATATATATATATATATATATATATATATATATAAACTTAAAGAAACCAGACAAACATACCTAGGTTTCACCTACTGGATCGCCAGGGTAAACTGGCTAAAGAGGTACTATAAGAATAGAAAATATATAGCCTACAACACAAAAACTTGACCATGTGATAAAAACAAAAAAAAAAAAAAAACAGACAAAAAATTAACAAACCCTAACACCAAATCAAGGTGGTGGGGGTAAAAAATATTTATTCAAAAACATAAAAAAAGTTCTTAGTTTGCTCTACTTAGCGTACTGATCACTTTGCGTAGTTATTTTTACTCTATTCGTGTCGGTTTTTTTTTTCTTTCAACTCTGAACTTTGATTCTAGACGATTATTTTCACCGGAAGTACATGTTCTTAGTTCTTTCTTTTTTTACCCTTTTTTTCCATTGGGTATTGGTTTGTTCATTTATAAGCTGAAACACCTAAGGTTTTTTGCTGAAGGGTATAGCTGTTATATTTATAAGGTTATTAGTATTATATATATATATATATATATATATATATATATATATATATATATATATATATATATATGTTATATATTAAATATAACAGACAATGAATATCCATTATGTTTGATCATGAGACGTTCTAAATTTCGAATAATTGCTTTGACTTTGTTTGAAAATAAAGAGAAAAACTGTCCAACATTTGGATATTTTTTTTATTAACTTGGTCCTTGATCTAAGCTTTCGACTCACATAAACCATCTTCAGAGTGGTTATACGGACATTTAAACGAAGATGATATTCTGTTATGGTGTCATAGAAGATTGCTATGCGACGATATATATATATATATATATATATATGTATATATATATATATATATATATATATTATTTATTTCACACAACACCATCACTTGATAAGACACCACAAGTGTTGAAACAAAATGAATATTTTTGTAGTGATGTTATAACATGCTTATGCTATAATTTATATATATATATATATATATATGTGTGTGTGTGTGTGTGTGTGTGTGTAAGTCTATGATAGGTAAATATTGCTATTATTTTTAATTTTTTAAGTATGTTTTGTTATTATTTTAAAGCCAGTTATTTGCTTGCAATCAAGGAACCTCAATGCAACTGCAGAAATAAAACATGTCCACTCCAAGGAAACTGCCAACAAACGAATATAATATATTAAGTCAAACTAAGGGCAAACAACAGCACAATGTACTACATCGGTGCCAATGAGGGACCATCAAGAAAAGAAAAAAAAACCATGACCTTTCATTCTCCAACAGAAAATACTCAAACAGCACTACACTATCCACATACATATGGTATCTAAAAGACAAAAATATTACATCAAGAATAAGCTGGAAAATATTGAAAAAAGAACCTGCGTACAGCAACATTACAAAGAAATGCCTACTTTGCCTATACGAAAAGGTAGCAATAATTTCTTATACACAACTGAAGAACTTACTAAACATAAGATCAGAAATAATTTCTAAATCTAGACATGAAAACAAATACCTATTATCAGAATTTATGCCAAACGGATAAAAAAAACAAACAACTAACACTACTGCATAAACCACCATTGACCCTATAAACATGACAAGATAAACCACTGATACCATAATAACATCAATTATTTTCTAGTTCAAACTACCATCATAATAATTATAATTATTGTTATTATCATTCCACCACCATTATTACGATTACTTCTACCACTTTACAATAACTATTTGCAGCCACTATCGTTATTATCATCACCCACTTCCCCCCACTATTACTACCACATTTTATGTTATCGGGATCTTAATAGATGAGATATTGCATTTGTATACTAATGATCCCGTG